CTGTGTAATTTTACCTGCACGGGAGCAGCTGAGATACCCCCATGGGGGTGGGCCATGGGACAGGGGAGAACAGCCCCAGGTGACCCACACCCCGCTGGAGGGGCAAGCTGGGGAACAGGTCACCTTAATCAGAACTAACCCATGTGCTTCAGCACCTAACAGCTGCCCTATTGCTGCTGCACTGACACTGGGGTTAAAAGCAGTTTCTGAGCTATGGTACTTTATAACCCACTTTAACAAAAACTACTAAAAAATAAGTACAGATCTATGATCACCTGTTCCCCCAACAGCGAAGGAGACCGAGCTGGAGAGAACATCTGGTTAGGCAGCAGGGGACTAGCAAGTCATCTGTTGCCCTGATGTAAAAATTGTGGCTGGAGGGACAAAACATTTTTACTCTAAACCCATTTCAAAGCACATTTGGCAGGGACGTCACTTGAAACTTCATCAAACTGAAGGAGGAAGAGAAGGCTAAATAAAAGCTGAGATTTGTCCCTCTGTAAGGCTTAGTTATGATTTTTAAAACCCAAAGTACGGACACAAAATCCAGTCTAAAAAAATAGCCCTGAAAACAAGGCCCCAGAAAGCCCCAGAGGAGATGCCAGGACACTTGCTGGCCCAAAACCACGTAACCAATTGTACTGCTGCTCTCAAGAAAGCTGTATTAATCAAAGTTAAAATGAGAGTGTAAGTCAATTTCTGACTTCTGTGCCAAATTTACCTCCTAGACTGTGCAAGAACTTAAAATTTTGGCTAAATGCTCAGGTGAAAAGGGTTACAGTATTAAAAAAAAAGTCTAAACAAACCACCATCTGCCCCTAAAAAACAAACAAAATTCAAGGCATCACATAATTTCGACGTTTTACTTCTATTCCTAAAGGCTCACAGAAATATATCAGTGTACCTATTGACATTTATAATTGGATTAGGACAGAATAGGCTCTAACAAAGTCTAAGGAGAAAACAGGAAGAGACTTAAAAATCAAAACAATACACTCAGACCTCAGTAAGTCTAGAAAGGCAGCATCATTTAGACATTCTATTTACATAGCATTTGTGGGGGGGAAAAAAGCAAACCCTTATCTTTGCTAGGTAATATCTTGTTCTCAATTATTTTTAAATTGTTTTGCCTGATTAGTATTTTGGACACATTTGCTATTTGGAGAAATGAATTTAAATCAAAACAATCAACCACTCTAGTTGTGATCCCACCTGGTCTCTGGAGTCTACAGCATCACTTTTAATGAACCTGGCAGCTGAATAGCCTTTGAATATGATTTTAGTAAGAAAAAATTGTTATAGTTAGCTTTTGCAAAATTAATTACAAGCAGAATCCTTACTTAAGATGGGAGGGTGCTTTGCAGGTGTTTTAAGAGAGCTACCTCAACCAAGAACATAGAGGCAATTGATTTACTACAAAATTAACTAGACAGTGCCAACTAGAGTACAGGCCCAGAGTTTGTGATCAAAAAAGCCATCAACTGCAATTCTCAGTCCAGCTTCGTGATTCTGGTTTTTGGGTTGGTTGCTGAAGGAGGAAAGGACTGGGGGTGGACACAGGCATAGACAGAAAGGGGTGGAGATGAAGGAGGCTAAGATTCACTGAACTGGCATTTGAGGAAGAAATCCAGATTTTAGAAAAACTCAAAAATGTGCAAAAATTATGGAAATTATGAAGGTAAAGGTTTATTTCTGTATACTGGGGTTGATTTTAAAGCACAATTTATAATATTTTTATTGTAAAGATATAAGCAGAAAATATTCTTTTACTTGTCCAGTTATCTTACCTGCAAATTCTCATTTCTATGAAATTGAGGTTTTATTCTGCTGTGACACCATGAACAGCATCATTCTAAGCTGCTGCTCACAATTTACAGCAAAGCTCCCTGTTCATACAACACTTGTATAAACATAGATAAAAACCATTAAATACAAAACACGTTTTCACCTTTTTAAGTAGTACTGCAGTGCAAAATACAAAAACCAAGTTGTCCTTTGAACAGTTTTACTGTTGCTTTTTCTTGGAGCTACTCTCCACTTATATAAAATTTACTCAAAAATAGTATTTAAAATACACCAGGCATATAATATTTTGTCAGGGATATAGATTTTTTTGTCACATTCTGTTACAGTAAGTATTCACAGTCCCCTTTGCAGACAGCTGAATAATCTTGCAAATGCTGTGAGATAAATTTACTTACATCTTGGCTTTCAAAGAAACTGTAGACAGACTAAACTGATAAAGCAATTGTTCCTTAATCTCTTTCGTGGCAGAGAATTAGTTTCTCTCAATTCCAAAGTGAATTGAGCTTTCTTTGCATTTGATGTTTAAGTACCTGTGGATTTAACAGTTCTTCCCACTACAGAAGGAAAGAGATTTAGTACAAGCACTGTACAGGACAAAAGCCTGTATTAGCTCAAGAAATTTCTCTCAGCAAGTAAGCTTTTCTGTGAACCATTCAATAGACTGTGTTTGGTGTCGTTTATTTTCAGCAAACTTTCAACACCTGACAGCAACTGGAGTCTCACAGATTTTTATACTCCCCTCTTCCAGACTAGAGCTGCTCATTCACTGGTATAGAAATTAGCAGCATGTCAATACAGTCTAAATGGAAAAAAAAAAATAACATTTGCAATGAAATGTCAGTTGTGAATGACAGTTCATTCTGACAGAACGAAAGACATTCTGAAAATGTCTTTCACAGTTTTGTTTGGGACCTGCACACGCACAAACCCATGAAAAGATCAAACTATCTTTTAATCCGGTTTGAGTAATTTAAAATAAACATGATGGTTATACATTTTAAGCCTTAAAATTTTACTATAAACACATACAAAATATTCAGCGTTTCAGATATTACGAGGAAAGAAGCTCTTAATAGTTAGAAACAGTTTACAGCTTCCTGTGCTTGAAAGGGAAGGAAAGGTTTTCACAAAAGTTTAAAAAATGAAACTGAAATTTGTTACTGGATTTCACTAGAGGGCAGAGGATGGGAAATGACGCTCAGTCATCCAGTGAAGAGACTAAATTTCTCTGGTATTGGCTATTTCCTACTCTCATCTCGCCCCCTCGCAGTTCTTTCCACTTCCCCATTCCAGCATTCAGTCTGGCATCTACTCAAGCTGCATAGGATGAAAAGTAATTACACATCAGTGTCCCTCCCCAACAAGTGAAGGTCCATATCACTGACCAAACAGACCTCAAGAGGTACTTCTTCAGTCCTGAAGAAATGCTTAGCATTGTTAAGTGCTACCTAGAGAGCAGCTTCTTGTTTCTCTCATTTATAAGTCCTTCCAAGCACTCAATACCAGCACCACTTTCTTTCCTGACAGGAAGAACCTTCCTCTGCTTGGAACAAAGAAAGGCCCATAATTGCATTCTATTTATTTTCACACTAGGGAAGTCAGTACTGCACATCAGATTATACATAGGCATCAAATGAAATAAAGTGTGCAATACTACTGTATTTATATTAAAACTTTGAGATCATCAGAAATACAATTTAGTAGAATCTGAACTTAAAAATTAAGAGGAAGTAACTGGGAAAACTATTAATCACACTAAAATACGTTTTTTATAATAACTAAAATCCCATTTCAGAAAATCCCTCTGAATTTTTCTGTTAAATTGTCCCAAACAACAATAAAGAACAGCTCATCCTATTAATACAGTGCATAAGTCACTTTTCACTCTGGTCACTTGGTTTCTTTGAAACTGAGTTACCCTGCAGGAGTTTCCATTTCGTGACTGGCCTATGCTATGACTTCTGTAATAGTGCAACATAAGCATATCCAGTTCATGACAATTCAGTAGAAATGAGGGAGAAAAATGGGGAGCACTTGCAGCACACAAAACCTAACAATTAACAGAATAACGAGAGACCAGAACTCTGCAGTTGCTGAATGATGAGCCACCACAGGAACTGCTCGAGTGTAACCTTTAAAGGGTTAAACCAGAACTCTGTAATTGATAAAAAGGTCAAACAAGGTTATCATGCATCTCAAGGGGGGGAAAAAAAATAAGAGAATTTATTATAGAATAAATGAGTGGTGCTGTACAGAATTTATTAAGGCATGCTTTAAGGAGATTGTGAAGTTGTTCAAAACTGATTGTGGAATGTTACAGGGAAGAATCATAGACAAGGAAAGGGAAGAATCAAGGTGGTTCAGGGATGAACAAACGTGTAAAAATGCAAGAAGGCTGAAACAAGCTGGCAGGCCGTGTCTGTTTCTCCTTTTAAACCACTGAAATATTCAGCATACAAGATCAATCTCCTCAGCCCCAATACCTCAGAGAATACAAAGTAAACAGTATTAAATGCTAATAATCATCTGGGTTTAATAGGCCTATTGACACACACTATATTTATACCAGGTAATTAAGTGTGCCCAAACTGGGTCTCAGACTGTCTACTAAACACGATCCCTGCTCTGTATTAACTGTTGATTGACCTCTGGAAGCTCTTTGGAAGGGAGCTAGTTGTCCTGGGGGGAAACTTTTCCTATATCTCAACAACCTGACAGTGTGACAGTACGTTTCCAGAGCTTACAAGTTTCTCTTCAGCAATTCTCATCCTTTCATTTTTATATAAAACCATAATATATTATATATAATATGGAAATACAAATCTATTTTGTAATGCACGAACAACACAATTATATGATTATGTAATATATATATTAAATATTTAAATAGACATTATTCATATAAATAATGTAAGATAAAAAATATATAATATATACCTACACCATTATGTAATACATACCATGCACATAGTGCATATTATACACATATGTAGCCATAGATGACAGAATAATGAAACCTCAATATGATCATTTAGGGTTAGATTTTACGTGTTTAGACAAGTAGAGGAATTTAACTCCACATATTGTAACTGATGAACAACTCAACTGACTTTATTTGGCAAATAGTGTAGCTTTAATAGAACTGGTAAGAAATAATAACCACTAACCCAGCTGAAGTGATGTTTTATACCTACTTTGCATAGTCAAAGAGCCTGCTATCCCAGAGCTGATGGTTTCCTCTATAGCCAGAATGGAAGAAGCAGGAATCCGTCCCATCAAACTGGTTGAGACCATCCTCCGAGTTTTTTGAGGCGTGGCTGTGCACAACATCCAGCAGAACCGTGATGCCCATGGAGTGAGCGACATCAATCATCTCCTTCAGGTCATCTGGAGTTCCGTAGCGGCTGCAGCATCAAAATGGAACATGTCATGAGCTGTGCAAATCGGGACTTACGCTGACAATGCTGAACACTCATCAGGAGAACTACATCAAAGTCAGCAGTCCTTCATCACCAGTGGTACATGGGTTACTTTTTCAGCCTCTTAAGTAGTAGCTATTACTTACAAAGTAGCATTTTAAACAATTTTTTATTATAACAATTGCATCACGCACGCAAAGTTTCGGGGAAATAGATTGTTTTATTCTTGCACTTTAATCTAATAATAAAACAAATTCAGCATAAAAACTGATATAACTTTAAACTTCTACTTAATATTGAACATGAATTCACATTTATTATCAATTTTCACCCAAGGCCTCAAACCGAAGCACAGTCTGTTACAAGCCTGGGACAAAATTTCCCACAGAACACACAGAGCCATGATTTTAATCAAGTGTATCAGGAGCAAGCAGTGTATAGTTCTGTTTGTTGGGAAAGAATGCCCTACACATCCTGTTTGCTACTGCTAAGAATTCCACAACACAAAACCCGTGCATAAAGACTGCTGAAGGTGGATTATCCAGAATATGCCATGACAGCTGAAGTTACTTATGATCTTTTTGTTTGTATCCGATACAAAGTGTTTCACAGAGCAGTTGATCACTATGCCAAATTGATTTCAGATTTAAGAGTAAGCTTGAGCAAATACCTAAGCCATTACTTTCCATTAAACACTCACTTGCAAACACACACATCCAGAGATACTGATTTCAGTGAATGGGAAGGAATGTAAAAGAACAGATGCTGAAGCACTTAAACCTACCTTGATGCTGCAAAGAAACTTGTGACCTGATAACCAAAACTGGCATAGTATGCATGTTCCATAATAGCCATCAGCTGGACACAGTTATATCCTGTAAAAAAAAAAAAAAAGAAAAAGAAATATAATAAAAAAAATATGCCTTAAGGATAATTAAAAGGATTCAACACCTGCAACATTCATCCCAGTCTTCTCCCATTTCAGCTGCCTTTGACTCCAATGATTTACAACTAAAGATTTAGTACTTTTCAAGAGGCAATTCTACCTAATAGTTTATACTTACATGATCTTCCATTACAAAAAAACCTAGTCAATTTGTCAAGTGATTTATATATAACTAAGTATATTGAAACTCCCAGATGTGTAGAAAGAAATAAGTGATATGTGAGTATTTAACTTATTTTAACTTCAGAATATTAGCTATGCCAATCTGCATGTCCTGAACTTCTGCTTCGCCTTTGACACTTGCAGTCAGGGGGTGTGGAGTTATCCACAGGCTGCACATACTGTGATAGAATCACAGAATGGTTTCTGTTGGAAGGAACCTTAAAGATCATCTAGTTCCAAATCCTCTGCCATGGGCAGGGACACCTTCTAGTAGAGCAGGTTGCTCAAACGCCTTTCCAGGGATGGGACATCCACAATTTCTCAGTGTAACCTGCTCGAGTGTCTCACAACCCTCACAGTAAAGAATTTCTTCTTAATACCAAAACTTAATATATTCTCTTTTAGTTTAAAGCCATTCCCCCTCGCCCTGTCACTGCATGAACTTCCAAGAAGTCATAGAATCATGGAATCAACAAGGTTGGAAAAGACCTTCAAGATCATGAAGTCCAACCCTTGATCCAACACCTCCATGGTTACCAGATCATGGCACTGATGCCTCATCCAGTCTCATCTTAAAAACCTCCAGTGAGGGTGAATCCACCACCTCCCTGGGCAGCCCATTCCAATGTCTGATCACTCTCTCTGTAAAGAATTTCTTCCAAATATCCAACCTAAACCTCCCCTGGCACAGCTTAAGACCGTGCCCTCTTGTCCTGCTGCTGATTGCCTGGGAGAAGAGACCGACCCCCACCTGGCTACACCCTCCTGTCAGAGTTGTAGAGAGTGATGAGGTCTCCAATTCCAGCTTTTTTCTAGGCCCTCCTCCAGTATTGGGAGGTTCTTTATAAGGTCTCCCTGAAGTCTCCTCCAGGCTGAACAAACTCAGCTCTCTTAGCCTGTGTTTCCAGGAGAGCTGATCCAACCTGATCATCTGATCTTCAAGTCCACAGTACTTGCCACACATCTTAACCAAAGCAATCTTGAATATCAGTGAGTAAGTGCCACAGGTACTGAGGTACTATTCAGGTGAGTAGTATCAACAACAGATAACTTTCAGGTTTCATTTACAGGCTGTTGAAACTCACACTACCACCACTTCTCATAGTCTGAACAAAATCTTCATTCTTTAGTTTAGACAAGATGCTGGGGGGGGTTTTATTGTTCTTGGGGTTTTTTATAGCTGTGACATTTAAAAACAGAGCTATTATTAGAAGACAGTTGGCATGAGCTCAACAATTTGTCAGATTCATTGCTGGTTTATAATTCAGGCTCATTGTACTTATTCTTATTAACAGCATTTTTATAAATAAACAGCAACACAGCATCAAATTAATCTCATTCAATTTGCTTGCTATTTATTTTGCTATTTGTCATGCACATATTTCTACCAACTAATAATCTATTACAATTCTCATATAGTAATGTCTTTAAACTCATCCTAACAAGTAAGACATTCCAAAACTGAATCTAATAGACCTTAAAAATATATTTAAAAATACTTAATTCCCGTAGTGTCTACCTAATGTAAATAAGAAGAAACACTAGCTATCATCTGTGTACCCTACCTAAATTTCATGCTCCTTTGACTTTGAGGTGAATCAGCCTTTTCATGACATTTCTGCACAAAGAGAAACTCGTAGGTAAAGCAGAATGCTTTCCTAATTTTGTAAATCCTATTAACCTCCTGGAACAACTGAAATTCCTTGGCAGTAAGGAGTCAGATACATAATACTGAATCCTAATTTACTTTTTGTTGAGGGACTCCAGACATGCAAACTCCCTCATTCCACCTGCAAGTTTAACTTTATCAAAGGGCAAAAGCCCCCATTCTGTGAAACACTGATTTAACATGTAAACCTACATAAAGACATATGGCTTATTCAGGGACTCTGATAAATAAAATAAACAAAAAAATCAAATACAAACACAGCCACCATGCACAGAGGCTTAAACTACAGGCGTCATGTTTATTTTACATCTGAGTGTAACAAAACATATTTCATCACAAAGCAGTAAGAGCCAGGAAGTTCTAATACCGTCCACTACCGATACAGTGCAAAGACACCACGGGAAAAAAATAATCCAAGAGGAATCGAGTAGAACAGTTTTGCTATGCTTCCTGAGATAATAGTGCCAGCTGTTTCATACATCCTCTCCAATACACTAGAAGTTTTTTCCTGAAGAATATTTTCCACATTTAAAGTTTTCATTGCTACTGTTCAGGGATTAAAAACAAAACAAACCAAAAAAATCTACATTGCTTATTCTGGCAAACTAAACAAAAAAACACAGGTATTTCTTGCCCTCTCTCCTTAGAATCAAGCTTTCCATTAGTAGAGCTATTTAAGAATGTAGTATTTTCCGATGACTTTCTCACAAAACCAGGTCCTTTTTCAAGTTGAAAAGCATGCTAAGAGCAAACTACCCAGCCTGATTTATCTAGGCTTTAGCAATCACATTTTGCTTCAAAACCTGTGAAACGGATTTTGGTTCACATATCCTATTTCAGTCTTGGTTCCCTCTCTGCAGATTTCACTTGTTTCTAATTTTTGCTCACCTAAGAATCTATTTTTATAGTGTGTATAATCAGAAAATGTAACAGCAAATACTTGACAGTTATCTTTTCTAATAAGAGCACATAAATCTGTTACTACTTACCGAGATCCTTTATTCTGGGTAATACATTGTGTGTGAAGTTTTTATAAGAAGCTACTTTGCCTTCTGGGGAAGCAATCCCCACGTGAGATTCATAGATTCTTAGGCTTTTTAACCTCTTGGGGGAAGGATGCTTATGCTATAAGGAAAAAAAACACAACAAAACACAAACAGTTGTCATTAGGAACAGTTTAGGAATGTTGTCACAATCATATGATTTGCACAAGATGAAAAGCAATTTAAGGTTTGTTTTGTGCTTTAAGAGCAGAAACATTTCAAAAATAATTAAGGATTTTAAAGTGTAAAGCAAATATCTCTTTCAAATTGACGTTTTTATGAACAAGAAACTGGACATTCAGAATTCTCAATTACCATGAAGCTTGTTTGAAAATAAAAGAGAAAAATAGAAAGATAAGCTTTTATTTTTCAAGCAAACGTGCTTTTTGAAGTTGTTCTGCCTTCTCCAAACTGAAATTTATAAACATTTTATTCCTAAAGAATACAGTTCCATAGCATAGAATCACCTATATTTCAATTACTTAGGACTAAAAAATAATTTAAAAATTTCAGGTCTGTAGATGAGTACACAATATTTCTGAATTGGAAGAAATATTTAAAGAATACAGAGGCAATTGAAGTTAACCACAAAACCTCTTCCTTACACTTGAAGAGTTTATATTTGACCAAGATTTCACTTTTTAAAACAAGCTCCTCGTCTGAGAAACTCTGAAAAACCACTTAGGAAAAGTAGTGCTTAAAACTTATTTCTCCCCAAAAGACATTTCTTTTCCTCCCTCTCACAATTTAGAAGAAGTTACAAGATTTTATATTCTATATGTTACCTTATTATTCAAGTGAAATTTTGAAAAGGTGGAAAAAAATTCAAAACATACGAACAGAAATTAGAGGGACAGGGAGAAGAACAAAACTTTTGGTTGAGGGGTGTTGCCTGTGTTTTACATCCACTGGGCACCTCTGTTTGTAAAGGAACCTTTTATTTTTGGAGTAAAGCCTTGTCTGCACCCAAATGTTCTTGCCTCCTTTTCACTCCAGGTCATATCAATCACTGCATTTCCAATTCCCTCTCCATTCCTTTTCCTACAGAGGACTGAGGTGCCACAAAGCGTCACAGACAGTGTAGGTCACTATGCTGATAAAAACTATGCACTTAAATAATAATCGCTGTGTATTATGTTAACTGTTTTTTAAATAAAGTATTTTCCATGTGAATAACCCTTTCTCGGTCAAGCAGATGCTTCATAATTTGAGGTGGGTGCTAAAATTTAATTCAAAGCAGAGGTAGCAGCATCTCTTCCCCAGCACACTGCATACCATTGTAAAAAAAAAAAAAAAAACACATCAAGAACTGTAATACAAAGTAACATCACTCGGACAGTCTGAACTTTCCAAATGTTCTCTGAGGGTATTTTTCATATATCAGGTAAAGAATTCTCTCCCTTATAGCGGTACGGGAGAAGTAAGAGGGCTTTCAACTCAATAAATGGATTTTCCCCAACAGGAACAAACCAGGATTTGACTGGAGCATGAGCTTTTTGACTGGAGCACTTTCAAAAGTTTTTTTTCTGACTTCATACAACATTGACTTATTATTGAGTACTGAACTTAGCATTTGCAGATAGCTAACTCTTAAATCCAGTACTGATAATTCCCTGCTTTCCTCCGTACCAGGAAGGGACATCGAGTCATGGAGCAGTTGTCAATCTTGCCTAACAAGTGGGAAACCAAGTTTAAAATAACAATTTAACAGGCAACTATTTTTTTTATATATTCTACAGAAGAATTAAAAAAGTAGCTCAAAAACATCCATCATTAAAGTCACCTGTTTCTGTCAAAGCCATGAGTAAAACCCCCTCACTCCTCAGGTAGCCACTTTAACTAGTTTGCAATGCCCCTTTTGTGAAATAACTCTTATTTTTTTCCAAATAGGGATACAAAAGATGACATGATACACGGGTTTATACACCTCCTGAAAAATAATATTTAAGCCTTACTATATATGACTGTGGTGGATTCCAGTGCACCCAATCATAATTCACTTTGTCTTCATCACGGACTACATATCTTGCCCAAGGTGAAATACGATAGAGGAGGGCGCCGTTCTGAGCACGAATCACCACCTATAAAATAACCACAACATATGCATGCAGTCACATATAACTCATATAACACCTCCTATGCAAACCATTGTGGGGAATGAAATAGTACACTACACAGAAATTTAATTTAAAGGACACACAAATACACAATGCAAGCCAAGAGAGGGAAGAACGACTCTGTTCACTGGGATGATTTGTAAAGGGATAGTAAACCAAACATGCCAGACACAGGAGTGATGTTCATGAGCAAGAGCTGAAAGGTGAGGATATATAGAAGTTTTATAGAAGCAATGGAAGAAAAAGCCTTCCCAAATGGATTACTGTTAGGTTCCCTAATTTCCCCTGTCATTGCTATTTCCTTTCCATGTTCTTATAAATTTAAATAGACATGCAGGATAATGCCATCAAGATGAGGACTGTGATTTGTTTAACTTGGCAAACAATTTAGTAAGCCAGTTCTAACATCTTCATTTCATTTTCTTTTCTATGCTCTGTGAGTCCTTACCAATATCACATAGACCAGAACCACAAATAACACGAAAGAACAGGACAGCTTTTGGGTTGAAAAGAAGAAAAAGTGAAATTTACATTGCTGAGTTGCTTCTGCTGCTTTTCAGTTTCTCTGTAATTCTTCATCATTTCAATGCTAAAACAAAGTATTATCGTTGGTTTTACTCTCCATATTTGGTTTCCTCTATTTTATAACAAGACATTTCCTTCAAAAGCTCCTAAAACTTCTCTTCACTGGAAAGAGTGACCAAACAAACCAGGAGCTCTGTTGGACTACTTTAATTTTACAAAAGGAAAGCAAAACTGAAATAATCATTAGCATGATGTTGAACCAGAACTTTGCAGAAGACATTGTGTTTGAGGAGGTGGTGAAGTTGAACAGGCCATCTCTGCTCTATTGAGCAATTAATATAACCTGTAACTTAAAAAAAATCCCCTTGGGAAAGGATGAGAGTCAGGGGAGTGGAAGGTAGTGTTGTTGACTGGCAGAGTGTTGCACGTTTAGGATGTAAGGACCACGCTGTGCTTGGTCCCCTGGCTGCAGGACAAACCTCAGAATCACCCCCCATGATAATGTTGACTCTGACACTTGTATGGCCTTGCCTTGGGCTGAAAAGCACAAAATTGTCATGAGAGAAGAACTCCTGTAGGAAGTAGAGTTGTTCTCTTGTTAAAACATTATATACACTACCTGGCACGACCAAAGGGTAGAGCTTCTCTCCAGGGACAGGATCTGCTCTACCCAGTAAGTCTGATGCCACATTACTACAGATGGCACAGCATTTGAAGGTGACTTCCTCTTATTCCATCTTATTGAAACAGTTATCCTATGAAGGCATTTGTTGTCATGCCTTTCTTCTTGAGATGCAGAATCTTGCTCCACCTCCCTCATGTCCCCTCATCCCATCCCATCTCCCCTCTCCTCTTCTCAGTGCAGAAGGAACAGCACCACTCTGGTTCTGCTTGGTATCTTGGCTGCCATTATAACAGCAACACAGAAGGGCTGCAAATTTACAATGTAAAAACGTACAGGCAAGCAAAGTCCTGGAATTCTTAATTCTGCTTTTGCTAAGAAATTGAGGACTGGGTTTTTGAAAAAATTGTCTTTTCTTTGCTCCCAATTCCTAACAGGTAGTCTGGAAGATGACAACTGTCAAAGAATTGCCTTTTCACCTCCAGCAAGTGTCTTGCATTGTTTTGATAATCTATATCCTTAACCCAACCACAGAAAAAAGTAGAATAACAATATCATAGAATAGGTCACTTGGAGGGGGCCTTTTAAAGGTCATCTAAACCAACGAGGAGGAATATATGTATATGCAGAAGGTTGATGGAAGTTGATAGAGGAAGGCAAGGAAGTAGGATTGCTGTGTCTCAGTACATACTATTATATATATTATAACTCCAATTCAAAACAGGTTTTATAAGAAGGAGTAATTGAGACTAACCACCTCATCAGAAAAAGCTGAGGAAGTTACTGAAAACACTGTACAGCTGCATGGAAAATTTCTTCTGTTAACTGTGCTAGCAAAGCTGGCCCAAAGAATATTTCTGTAAATTATATCAGCACTATGAGGATCCTCCTTGCTGATAGCATTGACAATATTCAAGTTACTCTTAAAATAATAAAACTTATCACCTCTTTCTGATAACATACCTCTGATGATGCTCTTTTTCTTTTATTATTTTATCCTGATTTACCCATCACAGAAGTAATATAATTACTGAATATAACAACCATAACTAATTACTCATGTTGGTATTCCTTTTTCTTTAATATTTTAGGACAATTTATACTTGACAGGCTTATGAGGAGTGGGCACCATTTAAGAAATACGAAGTAATTAATCTACATTCAGAACATTATTTAATTAGATGCAGTAGTGGTTTAATCCAAAAATGATCCTGGAGGGGGGGGGAAGTTTATTTATTATGATATACTAAAACCAGTCATGCACTGTCTTTAATTTAAACCACTAAGTAAAGAAAAACAGTTAAGAAAAAGAGAGATTATAAATCCATTTAAACGAGCAGCCACTTATCTCACTTTTTTTAACTCACACTTCTATAGCTGTGCCTCACATGTTAACTAACCATAGCTCTGTATCCCATCCTTCTGACGATGTATAAGAGCTTCTGCTGCTCTGTAGTCACTCAGCTCAAATTGAAAGCTCACACTTTCCCTCACTTTTGAGGCATCAGTGCATTTGATTCACCAGTTTTTAAGGAGTCATTTTGTTCAAGTACCAGCTCTGTCTCATTTCAAACATCTACAAGTTTAATGGTTGGATTTTTCAGGAACTGAGAGACTTGTAGGGACTTATGCAAGTTTCTATCAGCTTTTACAGTCAGAATTTTAATAGCTAGAACTAAAACTTTCAAGAAGCAAAGACATACATTTATTTGTCATGTATTATGATAGTAAAAATGTCAATACATGAACTGGTGGTAGAAATCTACCACTTTCTGTAAGAGTTGGGTTTACACACTTTAACAGTATTAGACTTTAGAGTCTGCTCTATTTTAAGGTTCAAAATCTAAATTTTTGGGTTTATTCATTTTAAAACTTTACTTTCAGTTCTATTTTGTGAAGATAAGAGAACTTCTATGCTTGAAGGAAAAGGATATATTTATCCAACAACAGAACCATAAAATTTACCCACACCAATATCAGAAAAAAAAAAAAAAAAGCTGTAAAAGTGTGGAAGGAGGACTTATTTTAAACAAATTTGTTGCCTTCATCACAGTGGAGGTGGTCTTAAGTATTTTTCAAATATATCCAGCCATGGTTGTAGATTAACCTCACTACAACAGTAGAAACCTCGATTTTGCTTATGTGTTGCTGTAATTTTGGAACATCATTGGCTGTGCAAAGAGAAAGCAAAGTCAAAAGGAACATCACTAGCACAGAAAAGGAATCATTACAACACTAAAGATTGAAAAGTTGAATCCTTTCAGTGTCTGCTTTACAGAAGCATAATCAACACAGTATTCTTAGACCTCTAACAAAGTGATACCTGACAAATTCAATTCTTGATTCCTGTGCTTAACACTTGCCTTAATTTTATGTGAATCTCATTTACAGAATCACTCCTAGGTTTAATTACCAAGCTCTGCACTCAATCAACTTATTCCTCTCTCCTGATACTGCAGAAGGTTGATCTATTAGCTAGAAATAGAAAGATTTCAAATAATACTTTTTAAGTTTCTTGGGACAGAAACCCCACACCATCATGCCTGGTTGACACGTGAGTAAAAAAAAAAAAACCTAAATAAAACTGCAAAAATCTGAATGGTACCCCAAAACAAAGAGCAATTCAGCCCAAGATTGACAGAAATAACACTAATGAAGACACTCCAACAGCTTTCATTCCCATATTCACTTTGGTGTTTTTTGAAACAATTACAATAAGTAAAAGTTGTACTAAAAGGAGTAATAATATGAAACATACAAAACCGAAACAGATAAAACCTCTTACTCCACTCACCCCAAACTATTATATGTGGTCCATTTTCTGCAGTGTTCAGATACAAAAAGTATCTGCTATGTATACTCTGCATGTGCTGCTATGGGTTTTCTAGGTATAAAGAATACTGAATATATCACTGCACAGCCCTTTTGACAAAGTACCTATAAGTCTATTTAATAGACACTGTATTTTTGCTCCAAATTAGTCTGAACTGAGTCAAACTCATTTCAGAAAAGTTGCAGCTTAAGGTAGCAACCACTTAGTTCATCAACACTTTAGAGCTGACTTTAATTTTCTAATTAACTCAAGAAAATGTTCTCTAAAGAACATATATAACATTAAAGATGTCTGCTAAATTGGATTCTTCAAACTAGCCTTGGGATTTATCTACTTCATTTTCAAGAGCTATGTCCTTGTTCTTTCCTTAAGATATATGAGGAGGAACATCACACCATTTGACACAAAAACTACTGTTTGTTTAAACTGTTAAAAATACAAAAACTGGTTAAAGAAAGAAATCTGTATCTCAAAAAGTGTTACATTTACAAAATGACAGATGTAAAGAACTTACCACCATCTACATTATCTTATTTTCAGACAAAGAGATATTTAAAGTAGTATTTTACTATCAAACTGCATAATAGGAAGACAACATAATGATTATTTTTTGGTGCATAGAAGGATGTCTCTTATAAGACTCAGCCTGTTCAGAACTCTATTAAAAATTCTTTCCCCAACTTGACCAGTCTCCAAGGTATCTCACCCACTAGAAATTTCTAATAAGATAATGCAGAAGATTCAAATTAGTCAGGCTGAATTTGCCTGCATCAACTCTACAAATAGCTCACCCTGAGTAGTTTTGGGGTTTTTTCCCCCCTCTCTTCTGGTAAATACATTCACATAACATGTAAAAATGCAAAATTCTTGATGAGACATTTGAAAGGCACATGATTTTGGCTCTAAAGTGAAATATAAACACAGGTAAATAAATGCTCTCCTACGAGTAAGTGTCAGAAAGACAGAATGAAAACATCCTTCAAA